GTTAAACAAAACTCAGAGGTGCAATCAAGGATCTTTAATAAAGGCACTTGGACTATTCAATCAAATGCTGACTGTTTTGAGGATGGAGTAATCTCTTTGGGATGTATCATCAAAGATCCTTCTACTGATATTTATTTGACTGCCTGTAAAAGTTTTCTAAACTTTGCAGATATAGGCACAATTGAGCTTCATGGTATTATGTGGGTAATGCAGATGGCTAAAGACCTTAGCTTATCAAATGTTGTCTTCCAGTCGGATGTTATGGTCTTGGTGGATTGTATAAATGGCATTGATTTTCTTGCAACTTTGGATCCTGTGATTAGTGACTGTAAATCTTTGCTTTGTAGCTGTAATTCAGCTACCCTTATGTATCTAATTAGAAGTTGTATCTCTAATGCCCATCACATGGTGGGTTTAGGACCGGGTATAGGTTTATCCCTCTTTCAGAGGATGACATTGTATTGTTGGTTGATCCAACCGTTTCTTAATATATCATTTGTCTTTCTATAAAAAAAGATAGTGGATTGTTAGAGTTATTCCTTCTATTGTACCTTCATTTATTTTCTCTTTCCAAATAAATTGAATCATACATTCTCTCTCTTTTTCTAATAACTAATTGAGAAAATAATTAATTTTATGGAAAATGTAAAGTTGAGTTATTAAGAAAGTAAGGATGTGATTGGTAAATTATAACAATAAACTATAAAAACGACACTTAAATGGAAACAAAAAAACTCTTTTAAAACAACACTTAAAAAGGAACGGCGGAAATATATTACTTCATTCGTTTCAAAATGAGTGGTCATTTAAGGTTTTTGCACACAAATTAAAGAATGCAATCATATGGTCATGAGACATTGTACTTTTACTAAATTAGTCTTATTAATTTATTGGAAGTAGTGTGCAGAATAATAATTATAGGATACAATTGAAAAAATAGATATCATTACTATATTGAAAAGTGAGAATGACATTCATTTTGAAATAAATTTTTTCCTCTAAAACGACACTCATTTTAAAATGGAGGGAGTATTATTTAGAATGCACTAGTATTTATGTTAAATGTAATTTTAGTACTAGCAAGTGTGTTAGGAATTTCAATTTATTCGCTATGATGTATTATTAAGTGAATGTTTGGTTTCATTTTTGAAGACTTAGAATCAATTTTAGAAAATGTAGAATTGATTTTGAGTGATTCTGAAGTGTTTGATTTTTCAAAAGTAGAATTGATCATGCATTTAGAATTGATTCAACTTAATGTTAAGATTTATAACTTTTATATTCATAATTGATTTTGAATTATTTTTATACTAAAATTTATTATTTAACTCATTTTTATATAAATATATCAAAATACAAATCAATTATACTAAATTCAATTTTATTAAAATCGATTTTAACAAATTAAATTTTCTTAGAATTAATTTTGTCAACGGTCAATTCAAACAGATTCTTTTTGTTAAAAGGCCGATTGTGTTGACTATTGTTGGCCGGTACTAATATGTTACGTATAATTTATTACCATCACTTCTCAAACATTGAATTTTATGTGAAACAATAAGTGTATGTTATATTTTGGTTTTTGTGTGATTGATCGTAAGTGAAAGTGAAAAGAGAGAAATAACTGAAAAAGAATATGATTATTTTTGCTAGTAAGGATACAATCCAAAAAAATATTGGTAGTACGTTACATGAAGTGAAGAGCGCCACAAAAAGACTTATGAGGATGAAGAAAATCAGAAAGTTTGATGGAGCGAATACCAATGTATAACAACACCGAAAATAGCACTGCTTTTAATGTGGTTGGCATTGGTCGTTTAAGATAGGACAAGAGAAGAATCTCATCATCATATATTTGTGCTTACTTCAAATTTTTCACACATCCTCGGACAGTGTAACACCGTTGATGAAACATGGATTATTTAGGACACGTGGATGTCATCTATCAGATGGGATGTAACTTGTGCACTTGCCTCTGTGATCTTGACTTTACCATATGAAATTATGAATACGTCAGACACCAAAGCTGGTGCCAGAAAAGCTAACCGTGGGACTGCATCACTTGAATCAAATCACGGTTAAAAAAAATAATGTTGATGCAGAAGCTAATTAGCACTTGAATTTGAGGGTTTGAAGCATACTTATATACTTCTAAGTTTCTAATTGGATCAAATGATTTGATTTTCTATGGTGCGAAGGACAATATGACCCTCCAACTTCTAAGTGGATCGTTTATGGGTTAGGTTGTGTATTAGGTTGTGTATTCTGTTGCAACATAGTTTTTTCTTTGTGAATTTGATAAGTTTTCTGCGGAAGCAAATATACACGTTTAGCGATGACTAATCCATGAATGTTTCTATAAATCCTAAGAGAACCTTGTTCAACCAATTGAAACATTTTAGAAATCACAACTAGTGGCTGCATGCAAAATGAAAAGAAAAAAAACAAACATTCAATTAATAATCCAGGCTAAAAAACCTCTGGCTTTGAATATGATCATGATGACTAGTGCTGCAGTCATGGGACCAAACCACATGAACCAGTAGTTGCTTGGCTTTCACTTTATCATCATCTAGTGGATAGGCAAATCAATAGGACCAGATTTTGACTCTTCCTAAAATACCATATTGAAAAAGACTAATGCAGCTATCTTTGCTCATGAATTAAGACAGACACTACCATTTCAATGTTTTTGTCTCCAAACAAGGTGCAAAATAAGACAAATGTCTTGAAAGTAACATTTATGCATGCATATCAAATGTCACCACATTTTGATGCATCATTTGTAGTTATTATGGTCCCAACAGAAAAAAAGATTCCCTTATTATGGTTACATGCAATGCAAGTCTTAAGTCTCAAGCTTTCTGATTTTGATGAAGAAGCTTCAACAACCTCCATATGGAAAAGCTTGCACATGGCTAACATTAAGTCATTGCATCATTTCATTATATCTTCTTGTCTTTTTTTTTACAAAGGATGATGGAACCACTAATCTTACAAAGGGTAAGACAATCATTTAGGAGTTTGACTCTCGTACCATTGTCTTCAATATTCACTTTACCATTTAATATGAGACTTATACTCATATTATTTTTTCTTTTGCACTTTAATTCTCAGAGAAAAAGGGTTTTAGTAATCTAGAGTTCGTGTTACGGAGACATGTGCATTGACCAAAAGTTGTTTCTGTCGAAAATCAAATTTAATATTCCCCGAATATTGTCCAGAGACTCGATTGTCACTCAAACCCTTAATATGTCAACTTATAAAACTTGATACCATCTTATAATTAAAGATCGAACTAACTCAAACTTACTAATGAGCTTAAAAGATATGTTAAGATCTTATTTCATGAATGTGAGTACTATTTGACATGCAAAGTATAAACACATCATTTTAACAAAGCTCTTAAGTCAAGAAAACAATTTTCTTACAAGTATTTGTCAATCTAGTAAATTCACGGACTATAAACTCAGCTTTTGAAATTAAACTTTGAAACATCTTTGGTAACCGAGCAAAACCCTGCATGTCTATGATCTTTATAAAATAATTTAATAATGTGACGCTTAAAAACATGCCCATGATATATAAATTTCGTATTTCATCCGTTTCAAAATGACTATTGCTTTAATAAATAAAATTTATTTTAAAATGATTGTTATTTTTCAATTTTCAATATTACCATTTTTATAATTATGTCATTTATTTTTTTACTCTGGACAAAACTTTTAATGCATTAATAAAGTTAATTCTGTAAAAATTTAATGTTTTATGACAACATTATTGTAATTCTTAATTTGTATACAAAAATTTTAAACGACAATCATTTCAAAACGAATGAAATATTCAATATTTGTGTACATACGTGTATCAATCAAATCAAATACCAAATTTTCTGATATTGAAATTAATAAAATGTGCAATGTGCACTGCTTCATCTTTGTGATGTGAACCAAAACAAATAAACCAAATAAATTACAACAGCTTCTTTCAAGGCACTGTTAACTTTGGTACCACAACCTCGTGCTTGATTTCACAACTACGTCACTCTTAAAGACACATAAAGTGCATTAAGACAATAAGCTGTTTTTCACATGTGGAGATAAAAAACACTTATTGCCTACAAGTTAGAAAATCACTCTCAATGTGCCAAAACTACCATCAATCAAAACTATTCATAAAGTTTTATTGAAATTAAATTTACTATTTGAAACATTTGGTTATAGGAATCAAACTCATTTCCATATATAAAAGAAGTAGAATATACCTAATTACACTATAAAGTTATAAACGTGTATTAGCAATTATACCAAATATATACATAAAAGAAAAAATTATACCAAATACATAAGAACAGTGAGAAGTGAGGTGGCTCTAATTTGGAAGGAAACAGGAAACAGGAAAACAATCTCTTTATTTTTACAAAATATTCTTTTTCCATTGTTCATATGGAAAAAACTTTAATGATTCAAGATTTGGATGAATAGACAGCGATTTATTACCATTTATTCAGCCACAGCCTCAGCCAAGTCACTTTCTAAATTTTCAAAATGTCTAATTATTTTTCAAAGAAAAAAATAATTAAAACATTATATATTTGTTTGTTCATATAATTAATGTATCATATTTCTATAATAATCAATGTATTTAATCTATATAATAGAACAGATACACACTGAAAGAAACGTTTGATCTATTTGAAAATTCCACTCTGTTATATTCTTATACTGCCACGTGTGATAAAACACAATAGAAAAACTCCAAATTTGATCGATGACTCAGGTCTATTCCATTTCAAGTATCCAAAACCGCGTCCAAATATATATTTATATTATATAATAGGATTGTTAGACAATTATTAACGACATTATTTTAATATAATTTTATTAGCATAAGACAACATAAATAACCTCTGCTGACTCCACTCTCTACCCCTCTTTATAACAACACTACAGAAACAGAGTGAGATTCATTTTCTTTATTTCTTGTTCTTGAATCAAATAATGGCAATTTCAGGATCAGAGACACAGTCACAAACTCAAAGTTGTACTACTACGACGGTTATAAAAAGCGTTAACAACGTAGAAGTTGAGTGTGTGAAATGTGACTCATGCGGTTTCACAGAAGAATGCACACCGGCATATATCTCGAAAGTTCGACAAAGATATCAAGGTAGATGGCTTTGCGGACTCTGCGTTGAAGCTGTGAAAGACGAAGTTATTAGATCGGATAGACTTATCACCATTGAGGAAGCACTCAATAGGCATACAAGTTTCTGTAAAGAGTTTAGATCGTCTTCTACTAAAACGGTTACGGAGCATCCTATCTTTGTTATGAGTCGGATTCTTCGCCGGAGTTTGGATTCGCCTCGTCCAAAGCCGCCTCTTCGCTCGAATTCTGCTGGAGTTCTTCCGCCTGTTGATCGTGTTCGGTCCTCGTCGTTGATTCGATCGGAGAGTTGCTTTTCGTCGATATCTGGTTAATTTAGTTTACTTTTCTTTTTCTTTTTCTTTTCTAGTTTAGACTCATTTTGCAGTTGGAGATAAAGCTTGGAATAATTGAAAACTGAAACATGTTTTTCTCTCTCACTTTGACTAATGTTGAAATTACATATATTGTTATAACCAAAGGTCTCTAACATTGGAATTTGTGTTTTCATTGATTATGAATCATGATGGATCTATAATTTGTTCCATGTGTTTCAATGTCTTTGAAATTTCATGAGGCCAGTTTGATACGGTTAGATTTTTGTTTTGTTTTGTTTTATTTTATGATCTTCTATGTAAATAGAGAAATTCTCAATTTAGTTTTTCAATTTTGCTTGTTTCACTATCTTAGAAATTCATACACACAATTGTGAATGCCAGAGTTTGGACTCTGGTGATGGCGTCCAGTTTAGCAATGTCGGCTTTTGTGGACATTTTGGCTGATATTTTGTTAATGAAGAGATACAATGATTTAAGGGAATAAAGCAAATATTCTGCTAGCTAGAAATATTCAATAAGAACAAAAAAGACAGCACAAACATGGCAATAGATAGGCTGGCTCAAGGCTCAAGCATTCCTTAAAAGAATCAATTTTGCATTGATTGCCTATAGCTGTGATATGATTGCATAGGAGAATCTGAAAATCTTAATATCTTTTCCATATCAATAATTCCATTTGGGATGGGATTAGCTGTTTAATTAGGAAAGTTTAATGATTTTTTTGCATTTTATTGCTACCAAGATATTGACACAAAAGGAAAATGCAAGGAAATTTCCCATAACATAAAAAAGCCATAGTTTATGTTAGGAAAGTGTAATGTTTCAAGGCTTGAATTTGGCTGTTTCAAGCCATAGTTTTAGTACTTTTTGTCATGCTTCTAAGGCTTTCTAAAAAGATGTGGTACTTTTCATGCCTGAACTGCATTAAGATCACTAGGAAATAATTTTACCAACCTAAGAAAACATCACTAGGGAGTAAAGTTAAGATGCCTTTACTATGATTCACTTGGAATGATTAGCAGAAATCTTTTTTATGGGACAGTATTTTGTAGTAACCAAAACGTGAAGTAAATAAAGTTAAAATTTTTTGTCTGATATTTGAACTTTCTGGATGTATGTCTACATTCCACACCTCTGCAAAATGTGCATAATGTGACATGAAAATAGAATGGGGACCGTTTATTACTGTTCCGTTATGAAATGAAATTTTGATACGGCAGAACAAATTTCTTGTACGACGGACAGGGTCTGACTTGCAAGATTACTTCCTAACGTTCTAATAAGTGAAAAAGTGAGAAGTATGTAAGAGTGAGAGAGAATGAATTTGAATATTTGAAATGATGCGTTTTTCTTATGTTTTCGCATGAGGTGAGACGCATTATGCGGATAGCCCTTGGATCTAATCAGTCAGTAATTGACGTGTCTAGAAGGCATAATTATAAGTTCTTGGATGAATGAAGGACCACCTGCTCTACACGCGTTTAGTGGTGCTCTTAGACCTTTGACTTTGTGTCTTGCGAACGACACATAACACTACGCCCTTGTATTTTTTTTTTTGTCTTTTTGTTGAGAATTTGGAGTCAATTCACTCCAAGTTTCATCACCAAGTTTTGATCCATTTATATATTTCTTAACCGTGTGTTTACGTGTTTTATAAGTGTATATCATCAATATTATCAACTAATTTGTTGTTGTTTTAAAAAATAAACAAGTCAATATCACGTTTCTAGTATTTAACTCCAATGTATCTGCTTAGTTTGACACGTTTCTGGCAGATCTTAAAAAAATACATAGATTAAAATGCATGCGGATCATCATTTTACTTCACCATAAACACCGAATTAAAGTAAGTTGATGTGAGTTTTAGGGTCAGAAGTGGCTCATGTGGTCTTTATTAGAGCAATGTTTGAAAATAGTTCAAAACTTAAAGAACAGTAGGTGTCGCTTTTGGTTAGTTGAAACTCATGGTATTCATAATTAAGAGAGTAACTCAATCAATCATGGTTCATCAAAATATTGAAGAAAAATAAATATTACTGCCGTCTCTAATTTAAAGTTAAGTTGTTATTCCTTAGTTAAGGGAGTAGTTGATTAGTTAGTTAATGGATAGTTAGAAGTTTGTCGAGAGGTACGTCCAATTATTAGACTTACTAATTAGATGGTCTCTAACTCGAATCACCGAGTCTAATACCACTGATGAATTATAAAAAAAAACACTCATATTAAATTAAGAGCAACACATAAGGGAGAGTGACGCTATATATTAACTTAAAATTTTAGCATATTAGATATATGATCTCTCTCACTTATGAAGTGTTTAAATTTTATTTTTTCAAACAATATGAAACTTTCAACCCACACGTATATCTCAACAAATATTATATCGAAATTAAGACTTTAATATTTTTTACCAAGTTGCGGTTCAAACAAACTGTCTATAGAGGGGCGCAGTTAGGTGCTCTAGTCTTTGTCAGAAACTTGTAACAAGTTGAATAAATTAGTGTAACATTCAAGTAAAGTAAAGCATGAAAAAAAAAATGGTCCTATAGTGAAATACTCATATTTTCAATCATGAACTTTATTAAAAAGTTAGTTCACCAAACCTTTCTTACAATGCTCTCGTGAAGTTAATATGCACTATATACCTTTGTACAATAAGACTAAACATTTTAAGAACACAATTTTACTAAGTAATAGTAGAACAAGGACTAAACGTCTGAACTATATCATGAGTATTCTTTTCCGTGATTTTCTAAGGTCCCACATTGATCACAATGATCAATAAACTCATTATAGCATTGTGCAAGCCCAATAATTTTTAATAACTGCTCTAGATTGCTTATTTTTGGGGTTTCCTTTTTGATGGAAGAATTAAGCATGTGACTTGTTTGGATGGATGCTTTGGCACATAGAGAAATTGAGTGTGTTATTTTGGTGATTGCCATATATTATACAGAACCTAAAGAGCATGGTAGATAGTTTGAATTTTCAGTAACTTCACTTGGATAGTGCATTTTTCTGCATTAAAATGTGGTCGGTTACAAACAAGTCATTGCTATTAAGCATTCTTCAATTGAACCTACAGCTAGTGGACGTTGGAATTGATCTTCAAACTAGTTGATCCTAATACCAAATACTGAGTTTTTAATAATATAGCTGCGTTGAGTATCACATCACACTTATTACAAAACGAAACACGTACACTTAGATGCATTGAGTATAATCACATCACACTTATTACAAAAGAAAACGCATATGCATGAACGGATGTATGTCATGGATTGTGAGAGGGCCCATGCCTGCATTATATTTTGAAGAAAAAGATTGAGTACTATGCATAATATATTCTACGTTTTAACATTTTGACCAACTATACATAAAGTTCACACACACTACACAACAATATGGCCGACACCCATATATTTGTTTATAGAGTTATATATGATATTACTTTTGGCAACTGCTAGCAACTGCAACAATTGGAAACATTTTCTTTACTATGAACAATATGGAGAAGAATCCCATTTGATTACAAACGATGACAACACTTCGAGGTTCTACTTACCTCTTAATGCCAAAAGACCATATTCCTCTCGAATGATAAGGTTCCCTCTCTAATCCTCTTTTCTATTTATAAACAATATGTCTTATTTGATATAACTGTACTCAATTAGAGGTGGCAAAATGGAATGGATCTGCCAGACATGTCTGTTTAACTCACCATTTTTTGCGGATCGAGTTAAGGTCACTAGTCTGCACAATCTACTTTGTGCGTCCCACCCAATTTTTTATGAAGGATTTGGCGGGTGCAGACCTAAATGGTATGGTTCGTAGTACCCACTCACTCTGTTATTTGGAGTGCTGAGTCAAGGTTTCTGGACCGCCCCAGCCCCCCTACTATGTCCTCCCTATCCCATTTTTTTGGTGGAGCAAACATGCCAGTTTGCCACCTCTACCCTTAATAGAATTTCTAAAATTACTATATTTAAATTTAAATGATAATAATCCTTTTTATCAGAAAAATTCTGTTCTAACCCATAAATCTTACCCTAAAAATCTTGAAATTCAAAGTTAACAATTCTGTTATGATATCCTATTAATATAAATAAAATAATAAATCCTAATCATCCTAATTAATCGTTAACAACAAAACTAGAGGTCGATATTGTTAGTGCGTGAGACACTTTTAGTGAGGAGAGAAAGAAAGAATAATAAAGAAAATAAGGATTTGTATTATTCGAGTGTACAAGCAATGATACACACTATGACTATTTATATACAACCCTAATTTGGCTTGGGCTAACACAACTTGGATTATATTAAATATTAAATTTAATCAAATCTAATCTAATCTAATTTAATATTTCAACACACTCCCATAATTCAAGTTGTCGAACATCCTCAAAAATATACATCTGAACTATTCCTAATTTCTTTCTCAAATTCAGGAATCTGTCGATCTTTAATCCTTTGGTAAAAATGTCGGTCAACTGTGCTTCACTTGAGCAATGCCTAACTTCAAGTTCACCTTGATTTACTTTTTCCCTTAAGAAGTTAAACTTTGCTTCAATATGTTTACTTCTTCCATGCAGAACTGGATTCTTCGCCAGATTTATTGCTGACTTGTTATCGATTTGTAATACTAGAGGTTTCTTCACTTCGACAGTCATTTCTTCAAGTATAGATCTGATCCAAATTGCCTGACATGCAGCATAAGATCCTGCTATATATTCAGCTTCACACGGTGACAATGCCACCACAGGTTGCTTCTTCGAACACCATGAGATTGGAGCACCAAATACTTGAAAGAAATATCCAATTGTGCTTCTTCGATCTTCCTTATCTTCACACCAATCAGCATCTGAAAAACAATTAACTATTGCTTCTTTGCCTTCAGAATCTCGTCGAAATAGTATTCCGCAATTTATTGAACCCTTCAAATATCGAAGGATTCTTCTTACAGCCTTTACATGTAACACTTTTGGTTCACCCATATA